TCTTTTACTAAGTGCTTGACAAACAGGTATGAGCTGACATGCGAGTGTTTAATGAGGTCCCTGTAATCCCTCACATCACACATGTGTGGAAACCCGGCCAATCTTGTCTTCTCCTGATACAAAATGGGAAAATGAAGCCAGTGCACTCTCTTCATTATAAAAGTTCACGCCAGAACTTCAAAGCTGGTATGAATTACTGCCAAGAGTTATTTCACTCAACAATCAAAAACATGCACATGTCTTTCTTCATGTACATCCATGTATTTTAGCTTGGTCAGACAGCTTTAACAAAACATCAACAACTGGGGGCTTTAAATAGATTACATTTATTTACTCATATTTCTGAAGGCGAGAAATCCAGGATCAAGGTGAGGCCAACATGATTTTCCACTGAGGCCTGTCTTTCTAGCATGTACACTGTGGTCTCCTCTTGTGCACAGATACAGAGCCCTCTGGCCTCCCTTGCCCATCTTAAAGGGTATCAGTGCTGTCACATTAGGGATCTACCCTTTTGATTTTATTTAGCCTAGTTATTCACCCCATCACCCTACCTCCAAGTGTCACCACTCCATTGATTAGAGCTTCAACACACAAATTTTAGGAAACACAGCTCATAACAGTGTGTGATGTCAGGTGGTCCACACTTTTAAAAATAACTTCATATCTGAAGCAGTGGCACACACCTGTAATCCCAGCTACTCAGGAGACTGAGACAGGTGCCTGGCCTGGGGAATTAAGCAACTTAGCAATACCTTATCTCAAAGTTAGAGGTGAAAAAGGCTGGGGATGTAGTTCTGTGTGAAAGTCCTGGGTTTAACCTCCAGTACCAGGATGGGGTAGGAGACTGAAAATATCTTAAACCAAGGAAGTTTGTTTTACAAATTTCTTTACCTTTCTAGAGTCCATAGAAAAAGTGGAGACTAAAAAAATTCTGGCTGTCACTAATTTCTAAGAACTTCTTTTAAAACTATATATTATTAAATTACATTTTTATTGGGCCAGAGATTCAGCTCAGTGGTTCTGCTGCCTGTCTTGCAGAAAAAAAAGTGTTAAATTACATTTTTATAATTATGAAAAGATACTACCAATGCAGAACAAAAAACTCTTTACCTTTAATCCTACCATAGTATTATACATCTACTATCATTTATTTCATTCCCTGCTGGTGGAATTCCAGGAGTTTACTATGGACATTATGTTTATATAAGTTTGTGTTCTTTTTACATTGAATATAATTTTGTAAATAATTCTCCTTAATTAATTTGACATAGTTATTGAAAGTATTTCTGTGTCTGACTTTAATGAAGCACAAGTTTGACTTACTGAACTTTATAAATAGCTCTCTCTCTCTCTCGCTCTCTCTCTCTCTAATAAACTATCCCATTGCCAACCAAAACTCTGTTTCTGTGGGGCATCTTTCAGTGCATAGCATCCTTCAACTCCTCAACAAGGCAACAGTGGAATTCACTTAATCATCCAGACTTATTCACAAAAAGATTACTTAGACATTTGGATAAACTTGACTCCCTCAAGTGTTTGAGTCCTAATTTTTAATTTTCCACAAGAACCAACTGAAGGAAATTAAAGTTTCCATGTACTGAAGCCTGGAACTAACATACCATTTGATTCCTTATAATGAATTACTACTTTAGCATCTGTTCTTTGGGAATGAGAACAGCCTCATTTTACTACCAAAGAAAAATAAACACTATTTGACTCTACTCATGACCATGAAAACTAGTGATCTTTAGGAGAAAAAAATACTCCAGAATAGAAATGAAAACTCTCAGCTGACGTACAATAATTTGTCAATGAAAAACAACCCTTTTTAATAGACTAAGATACATAAGGCATGTTTGCTGCTATTTCCAGTGCCTAGACAGTGCCTGGGGTATACGTAGTAGGAATTCAATAAAAACAGACTGATTCTCTTCTCATAGGGCTCTTCTTCATTCAAGCATCAGAGAGCCTCGTTATCAAGGAGGAATGGGAGGGTAACATTCTGACTTGGACTTTTCACAAGCCATCTCGTGAGCATGAGACACAGCAAGTTATCTTTCTCTCTCTGAAAAGCTATGAAAGGCAGACTGCACCCCAGGATGTCGTGCTAAATATATTCCTCATAGCATTACATCTGCTCCATTACCGAGTATAAAGTTATTTTAACTTTTTAAAAATGATTCTTTTTATTTTTAATAAATTATATTAAGGGTTAAGAATTCCTGGACCTCTCAAAGATGTAACATACAGGTATTGGGTTTTGGAGAGTTTTACACAACCATTTCTGGGACCAGGAATCAAGCCATATCTTGAGATTGGAAGCCAGAAGCAGAAGAAGGAAATTCTCTCTTCACATTTTACAGAATTACTTGAATTGATTAGAATTGTGGCCCCAACTGCTCTGCGAAGAACTCGTGACAATCAGTCCAGGTTGTTTTGTTTTCCTGTCCAAGCGTTGAGTGTACTCAGTGCATGGTTTTTGTTGTGCTTGAGAAGTACTTGGACTCCAGACAGAGTAGGCAAATTCCATTATTTGGGGACACATTGAACATTCCTTTATTTCACAAGAAATAGCTCATTTGGAAGGAAGGGAAGGAGGGAGGGAAGGAGGGAGGTAGAGAAGGAGAAGAGAGAGGTTCACCAAACATCTTACTTTCTATCTAAACTTATAAAGTATTTGTTACAAAACTATGTTTGGGACCAAAATATATTAATGATGTGTTTGTATTTCTTAAAAAAATCATATTTCAAGACAAGCATCAGACATCTTGAGAACAAATGAAGTTCCAAACTCAGTTCTCCACCTGTATTGTCTTGCTAACCATGTACACCTAATATGATATTAAAGGAGTATGGCACCTGAACATTTTTATATACAAAGGAATAGGCAAGATTTATCATCAAGAAGAGTTGAGTTTGGTGAAGATACTTTACATGGTTCTTATGGTTGATTGAGTTATAAATTTTCTCCTATTTCCAAAAGCAGGTATATAAGGACATTTAAAATGAATGTCAAAAGGAAAAGCTAGAAACCTTAAGAGCAAAAGTAAAAACTAGTGACTGTATTATTAGCCAGTATTTGAGTATATATTAGAAGCAACTTATATATTTAAGGATTCTAAGTGTTTTAATTTCACCCTCATCACAGCTTTTTAACTGGATACTGTTATTATCCCTGTTTTATAAGGAAAGTGAAGCATGGTGAGTTTGATCATTTGTGTGAGATCACACAACTCAGAATTAGGATTTTGGTCTTGCTTAGAGTTTATATGCTAATCCCAGGCACTATGCTGCCTTCTAAACTTGACAATGTCACTTTTCTGAGCTTCAAGGCAGGCAAAGCAAGGATAATTCAGTACTTTTCCAAGTGCTAAATTCTTTGGAAGTTACCAGGTAGATGGGAATATGAGAAGTATCATGCCACATGACTTTAAAAACCATTCATTGCTGTTTGCACAAGTTAAAAATGGATTTTCCAAAATAATAATTCTCACATCAATCCTCAGTAAAAGGGGCTTATGCAGTAGTGAGCATAGGTAATATGATTTGAAGTTCAGATTTCCCACCATGAGCGCACTGAGGCTGGGTTTGTTTTTTGTCGTTCAATGAGTCTACAAAGATCTTGCTTTGTGTTCCTGGCCTCCACTGCCGGAGTGGAAGAAGGGGCCTATGTTCCTTGTTCATCTGCTCATCTTCAGAACTTAGCATAGAATTCTGCATAGTAAGGGCTCACAATTATTTATTGAATAAATTCATGACTGAATGAATCCCATGAAAGCAGAGTTCTACCTAAGAATATAGTCACACAATCTTCAAAATATAAATTATGACCAGGAAAAGCAATTGATAGTAAAGAAGTTATTAGCAGAGCGTACTTGGACAGTGTTGAGGAGTCAGGATGTTGACTTTTTTTGGTCTATTTTCCTCTTCTCTACAAGTTCTGCTGTCAGGGCCCATCCCTGGAGTTTTGTTTTGCAAGGCCCTGTCCAAGAAGCACTGAGGACTTCCTACTGCTGACAGAGTTAGTGAATAGAAAGCAAACCTACTCCTGTGCACCACAGTGCAGTTCTGTTCCAGGCACTCTGCTGCTGCTTCTGATCAAGTCTTCATCTGAAGTTGAAGACAAAGTGTGTCGCATTTTTACAGCATGAGGTGCTTTCTCTTGGCTTAACAGAGCTTAGGCACTGCATCTGGCATCCCACTACTGCTCTCCCAACTCTTCCTGTGCTCCTAGAAATGAAGCCTTAAATTGCCTGAGCCCCAGATTGCACTCAGAGCTATTTAGGGGCTCACCACAGCAAATGGTCTGGAATTCCCCCTGTTCAACTTTTGCCTTTTTTTCCTCCAGTGGCTCAAGCCAAGAGTGACACATGAAGGAGAATCTAGCACCCAACCCATTTTCAGCCCAAGAAAGAAAACAACACATGTATTCAGAGAAGGCTAGACAGGACAGGAACAGTTAGTCCCAGTGAAATGCAGTGATATGCTCCAGTATTTTCTCTAAGCCTGCAAAGAAGCACTAATCAAGTCATTGCTTTTTAAACTGTGACAGCTCTTCCCAGCTTTGACTTCCCAGGCTGTGGAGCCACTCTCGTGCTTTTCCACTGAGAACACCTCCCCCCCAACCTTCCTTGACTTCACGCTTCAGCTGGGTGTCCCTGGTCCATGTGCCCATTGTTTTAGCACTCACCACTTCATATTCAATGATCTTTTTATGTGCCTGTCTCCTCCCTCAGGCTGGATTCAGTTCCTTGACAGCAGGAGCATGACTTGGCCATTTCTCTCTCATGGGTGCTGGTATAGAGGTCCGTGCATGGAGTGAGTCAGTAGGCATCGATCAAAATGACTCGTGTTGCCATCAACCGTGACACCCTCTCTCAGTCCAACCTCTCTTTACTGCCTTCAGAGCTTCTGGAAGCATGGGAGAGAAACATTTTGAGTGACTTTGCATTTTAAAACTTGTGAGACTACAATATCTTGTAATTTCTCTTCCTTTGTAGAAACTTCATTCCAGAGCTGTAAACAGGAAAAGGAGGAATCATGTCGATGATCTCAGCTTTCTATGGTGGCAAGTCCATTCTCATCACAGGTGCCACCGGCTTCCTGGGGAAAGTGCTGATGGAGAAGCTGTTTCGAACCAGCCCAGATCTGAAAATCATTTACATCCTCGTGAGGCCCAAGGCTGGCCAAACACTCCAGCAGAGGGTTTTTCAGATCCTCAACAGTAAGGTGTGTCTCGAGGCCATGTAGGATGGGCAGCTGGGCAGTTCCACAGGGCAAGGCCACTCCCTGTGTCTTCCGTTAGAGCTCCACTGCAGTGAGGCCAGAGTATCTTTGCAGACAGGGAAAGGGGACAGAGCAACTGCTCAGAGCAACACAAGAGTGCTTCGACTCAGTCCAGAGCAGGGGAGGAACCATGTTGTTCTGAAATTATTAATAATAAAAACACTAACTCTCCCAGCAGGGATGCTCCATCCAGGCTTGAAATCTTTTGCAAGTTCATCTGGATTCTTCCCTAATTCTTTTTCTAAATTCCAGGTAGTTTCCATCCATAATTTTGAATAGTTTCCTATAATACCCTGTTCTGTTACACATGGGACAGACCTGACAGTAAGTAAACATGCAGGAATACTTCCAAGTGTCCAGACTCTGCATGGTTTGGCTCTTAGGTCTACGGAAGTTTAATATTTCTAAGTTCTGAGGTAAAGACATTGAAAATGAAATATTACATTTTGATGCATGAGCATTTGGGTATCAAATCCTTTACCCCTCCACAAATATGCGTATCCTCTCATGTGTACATTTCTAAGAAATATAGGCTTTGGTCTCGAGTACATCTAAGCTCCAATTCTGGCCTATTGATTTGTTGTCATTTCACCTCTAAAGCTCCAGATTCATAATGTTTAAGTTAGCAATGATGACAGTTACCTCCTGCAGGAATTGAGTAAGAAAATGTATATATCTGGCTCCACAATATCCTTTGGAGTGCCCAGGATCACCTAGGGTAGGAACCAGCCCACGAGCTCTCACTTCCAGGTAGCCCAAGACTGAAAAACTTCCACTATACAATCTGAAATGCTTCAGTATTAGAATGCTGTTGCTTCTCAATGGTAGGTAAAACATGCACATGAGGAGCCACCTAACAACCAGCTGCTGGTCATCTGAAAGATTCAAGGAATTATTCATCTTGAAATTGAAAATTTGAAATAAAGACAAGATAGAATTATATATTTTTAATTATACTACTTTCCAATGATGAAAAAACCCCATCTGGATTTCATTGATTTTTTACTTTGCAGATAAAAAATGTTGATAGAGTCAAAATAACATTATCTCCAGCTACTTCCATTTCACTTTGGTATCTAGAATCATTTAGTGGACACATCCCTTTCTTTGAAATTAGTTTGTTCACTTGCCTAGATTTGTGCTATGCAATGTAGTAACCATTAGCCCCATGTGACTATTTAAATTTAAACTTATCACAAGTAAATGAAGTTTAAAAATCAGTTCCTCTTTCACACTAGCCACAGTTCAAGGACCCAGTATCCATAAATGGCCAATGGTTCTTTTATTGGGCAGAGCAGGGATAGAATATTCCTATTCCTATAGCAAGTTCTAAGATTAAATATCTTATAGAGTAGGCTATATTGTGATCTGGGTGTCCATGCTGCCCATCACTGTTGCTAATCCCACTGATCCTTAGTCAAGTTTTTACTGTGTGCTAGTTGTCTGTAAAACACCAAGAATATAAAGACAAAACTGGCATAGTCAAGTCAAGTCCCAGAAATGGACATGTGGAAGGCATGATTGCATCGACCTGATCTCTGCAGGAATAGGAGAGCAAAGGGCATGCTAAGGAGAAAGAATCACACCCACCAAGGCATAAGTGGTGAGGGGTGTTCAGGAAATTCTAAGAGATTTGGGGGGCCCAAGTACATGAGATTAAGAATGCTGAGGCCAGATTCACATAACTATGTCAGGTTACTTTCAGTTGAAATAAATATTGAACTTGGGCTAAAAAGCAAAAATATTGATTAAATCCAGGACTAGACAGTGAAAAGCTGTGACTCAGTTGGTGCTCTGGGCCTGGATCTGTGGTCTCAGGTCAGCAGTTTTGTTCTGGCTTTATTCCCCTTGGAAGGAGCTTCCATGCACATATGGATGGCCATCTTGGGATCCAGGCAGGCTGGTTCTCTTCTGAGATGCATGACACTTCTTTTCTAGAATCTCTCAGTGTCCCTCACACCTTCTTAGCCTGGATGAAGTTACACATCCACTTCTGAGCCCGAGGTTTGGTCAGAAACCTCAGACCCAAAGACAGTTGCTGTCCAGAGCTAAGAGTGCATGGCAATCAATGAGCCTTTCCTTCCCTAAGCACTCTGGCTCCTGGAGAAGGGAGATCACCTGTTGATGACTCAAAGAGAGATAGAAACAGATGTTAGGAGGGAAGCATCCTGAGTATAGAGAGTTTCTGGGGTGACACAGACCTGAGTTGGGGTCCCCTGTCCACCTCTGAGCAGTGTGGCTGCAATACGGTGTCTCAGTTTCCACACAGAAACAGTGATGGTCATAATCTTTTGCACTATTATGGGCTGTAAAAGGATTAATACTGGAACAACACTTACAGTGATGCCTGGACCGCAGTGAGGACTAGGTGCAGAGTAGGTTTTCACGTTTTTATTCCACAGGTGGGAGGGAGCTTGAGCTCTACTTCTGTAGCAAAGAACTCCAATTATGAGAGGGATTTTTGTTTGTTCTTTTTCTTTTTTTGTCTTCTGACAGCTAGATAATTTCTTACCACTTAAGTACAGATAGTAATAAAATAGTACAGAAGTGAGGCTAATGAAAAGGGGAACAATGAATGTGAGAGCTTTGCTGTGTCACTGGTTGAGATTTGTCCTGTCAAAATCATACGGCTTACAGGGCTGAGAATATTTACCATCTAGTCCTTGTTTGGAAATTTGCCAATTCTTGGAGTAAAGACCAGAAGAATGCCTGATACAGAACACCTAATCTTGTTAGGTAAAATACGTTTCTATAAAATGATCTTAATGCATAGTGCAGCTAAAGGAAAAGTAAGAAAATTCCTAGAAGTTCAGAAATGAGAGAGAGAGAGAGAGAGAGAGATCAAGTGGGCAGGTTAATACTTAACTGGAAGCCAAACATGTACCTGGCACTGTGCTGTGTGATAGGGGACCATGAGGAATAAAGTAGTGAATAATAAAACAGTCTTGGAGATGTCCTCATACATCTTCGTCTAGTGAAGTAGACAAATATTATATGAAATAAATGCATCTAAGTATTTTGAAAAGTACTGCGCAGGAAAAGAACAAGTTGCTCTGAGAGAGAGTAGTAAGTGGGACCAGCTTCTGAGTCATGCATTCAGAAGAGGACCCAGAGATGGGTCCGTTAAAGCTCAAAACCATCTTGAATGTTCTAGAAAATGCAAGGGGATGATTGTGGCTTTAGTATACTAAGCATGAGGGACATTCTTAAACATATCTTCATGTGTTAAAAATTTGGGAGACTAGATGAGAACAGGGATAGTGAACCTTTTAAAGACAAGTACCCAAGCTGCAACCCAAAACCTACTTACCACAAAGTGCCAACACTGCAATTAAACCTGAATACTGAAGTTTTAGTTTAGAAAAACAACTCACACAACATCTTTGTCTCAAGAAAAACAGATAGATGGATGCCATAGGTTCCCCACCACTAGATTAGAAGAAAGCTAAACCATATTAGAATATTTCATTTTTAAGATAAAACGTTACAAAAATATTAAACCATATCATTCTCTTTATAGGTAGCAGCCTAGGCTCTACTTTGTGAGCTTTTATCTGACTACATGACTCAAAAATTCCTCGAAGTATAATTTCATGCCTTTTCTACAAAATCAGAAATGGGGAGAGACTTATAAAGAAATTTCCATATTTCAGTCTCTTGAGCAATTTACATTAGAATAATTATTTCCTTTTAAAACACTCGTTTATACATATTTTCAATAGTTTTACTATAATGGAATAGTTCCCTTGAGGCAGAAGGCAGATATTTAATGAAAAAAGAAAACTAAATTGTATGCTGAGGTCCAATATCGAGATTTGTGTGAAGGAAGACTTAATGAAGAAATGGGCAGATGAGTCCAGTTGCTTACAAAACACTAACTAGGCTCTGTGTGGAGGGCCCTCAAGGTCTTGCCTGGACCCAGCCAACCTGTACTTCTGTTTTATGGCTTCTGTCTCATTCTTTCTCTGAAGAATTTTCCTGTCTGGGTTAGCATGTCTTCTGGGAAGCTTCATATTCTACAAATATTAATTGACTGTCTCTTATGAATCAAGACCTAGTCTAGATTATGCCATTTAACTGACTATTTTGACATAATAGTGATTTAAATGCAGTTGCAACTTACTTCTAAAAAGGGCCTTAGCATAGATAGTTTTTTTTTGTTTGGTTTTTATTTTTGGAGGTACCAAAATGGAACTCAGTGCCACTTGTGCAGTAGGCAAATGCTTTACCACTGAGCTGCACCCCAGTCATTACAGTAGAGCTTTAAGCAATATTTCTTTCTAAGATACATAGTATCCAGTGAATCTTAGTGTTCCTAAAGGTATTATGGAAGACTCTGAAATTTTCTTTTAAATATAATAAAGAAAAAAGTTACCAGCTTGTTCTTGATTATGGTGTCTTCCCAGAAAATGTGATCAAGAGGACATCTGTTCTATCTATTAAAATTTGTACACCTGTGTAGGGAACAGGGAAAGGGGACATTATTAGAACCTCTGCAGTAAGTCCTAGTCTCCTGCGAGCCACGGCAGCACAAGGCGAATTACAGGAAAGGTAGGAAAATGGGACTGAGAAGAAGCTGAGCTTTGGGTCTGATCAGTGCTGCTCTGGGTGGCAAAGACGAAAGCCCCCAGCTTACTGCACCTTTAATTCAGTACATTGGGAGAAACAAATGTAACAAACGACTTGCAGAGAGTTCAGTACATCTGTGTAAACAAGATGGTTAACAGTCCAAGAACAATGAGGAACTGAGTAGATGAAGATTTTGTTCCTCCCAGGATGTCTTCAGTTGTGACTGGAGGCCAAAATGGAATTATGTCTTGGAATTCCATAGTTGGGCTGTAGGCAGGAGAACTAGGCTGAGAAAATGATTTTTCCCTAAAATTATGTAGCATTGCTCTCGACACACCTACTTCATTCTTTTTCTTTCATGGTATGCATAGCTA